TTACTACAACTCTTCGCTGTGTGCACACACATATAAAGCTCTACACGCAGTGATTCCAGCCAGCCAGAAAACGCTCAACTGAAAACTGTGACGAAATGAGGTTCCCTTTCCTTTAAAGCTTTTAGGGTTTTTGTTTTTTTTTTGAGACACGGAGTCGCTGTGCTCAGGGCTGGAGTGCAGTGGCGTGATCTCGGCTCACTGCAGCTCCGCCTCCCGGGTTCACCCATTCTCCGCCTCAGCTCCCAAGGTACCTGAGACGTACAGGCGCCCGCACCACCGCCCGGCCTAGTTTCTTTTGTCATTTTTTCAGTAAGAGCAGGGGTTCACCCGTGCGTCCGTGTTAGCCAGGATAGTCTCAATCTCCTGACCTCGTGATCCACCCGCCTCGGCCTCCCAAAGTGCTGGGATTACAGGCTTGAGCCACCGCGCCTGGCCCAAGGGGTTTTTAATTGCATTCGCATTTTAATTGCATTCGCATTTCAGACAAGTGTGGTTAGTTGCTAAGAATATGATCTAGTAAGTGCAAGCTCAGATGAAATCTTACTTTGTTGAGTCACTTCAAATGTATCAGATACTTCCAGGAATTCCCATTTTTTTATGAGAACTAAATTAGTCTATTATTAAGAATAGTAAAGATAAAGGAAAAGGGAAGGAAGAAGGAAAGCCTGCATTCTCCAAAAACAAGACCACATGAGGCTATAACGGCATGGTTTCAGAACCAGTGGAAGGTAGTGCTAAACCCTAGTATTCTGTCCCTAGGTTACATACAAAAATGAAAGACACTGAGGCCAAAAAGTGACCTCCTCCATGTCGTCTTTCTTGGAGCTTCCTCAGTAGAAGTGACCCCTCTGTCCTCTGCACTTTCCTGGTTCTTTGCTCATCTTTCCCTCCCTCATGCATTAACCACATTGTACTTTTATATCATAGTCATCTTTTTTGTCTGTCTCTCCTGAGGATGAGGGCCGCATCACAAATCAATGTTCGTATTTCCTGCAACCTCTAGAGTTGGCCAATGACTTGTACATTTCACTTAAATTAATAACAGCTAATATGTTTTATACAATTACCATGTGGTAGACCCTGTGCTGTGTGCATTGCAAATGTTACCTCATTTCATCTTCATAGAAAGTTTGTGAGGAGGGACCATGCTGAGTTAACAGTTAAAGAACCTGAAGCTCAGAAAAGAGAAAATTAGACCAAGGTCCACTCAACTAGCAAGTGGAGAAGATTGCATGTGAAACCAGGGATTGTGATATCAGAACCTCTGACTTTACCTACAACTCTTCGCTGTGTGAACAAATAGATAAGCTCTATCACAGTGATTCAGCCCAGCACAGAAACTGCTTAACTGAAAAGTGACGAAATGAGGTTCCCTTTCCTTTAGCTTTTAGGGTTTTTGTTTTTTTTTTTGAGACGGAGTCTCGCTGTGCTCCCAGGCTGGAGTGCAGTGGCGTGATCTCGGCTCACTGCAAGCTCCGGGTTCACGCATTCTCCCGACTCAGCCTCCCAAGTAGCTGCGACTACAGCGCCCGCCACC